CTGGAACCATGAAATTTAATTCAATGCTTTTGTAATAACCACAAATTACCAAATATAAATAAAATCAAATTGTTACACTATTTTTATTTTATCCTCCAGCATTATCACAAGTAATCTTTAAATGCTTTTCTATTCAATTTTTTAATTCCATTAAAAATCATGCTAAGAGTGCCATTAGGACCTTTTCCTATAATTTCATTTTCATTAAGAACAAAATTAATTTGTTCCTTTATTGCTTCATCTTGAATACCAAATAAATGAACTTTACATGGACTAAGTAATAGATTTTACTTACTTGTTGATCTGAATGTAGTACATGAACATTTTGAGCTCAATCATAACTATAATGAGCAGTGGCATCAATGCTGCAATATCATGTTTTACCCTTTAAATAATGTTGATTAACTAATTTTCTTTGTTCTTCTGCTAAGTTGGTGTTTTTATCATAATGATTTCTTTCTACTTTGGCTTTAGACAGATGTTCTTTAAATCTTTTAAGTAATTCTTTAGCTTCTTCTTCTTGATGAGCATTATAATGTAAACCATCTCTAAAATGTTGACAAGTATCACACAAATCAGTCCTGGGACTCATAATTTGAATCTCTGGTGTCAATTGATGTCATAATTTTCTGAAAGCATCATATTTTAAGGATTTCAATTTGCTATCTTCTAGACCAGCTAGAAAATCTCTGTGGACTGATTTATAACTCATTTCAGCTGGTAAAAATATAATTGATTGAGTTATTCTATTGATACTTCTTCCTGGACTTGGTAATCCATAGACTTCTGCATAATTTTCCAGAAAATTCTTTACTACTTCAGCAACATTTTTATCAATCATCATTTTAGTTTTCCATTGAGGCATTCTTTTAATATTACCATGAACTCTTGCTAGAAGACCATTGTTTATCAGGTGATTTCTGATATTTTCAAAGTAAGTCCTGCCAATTCCCAACATATTGAGATAAGTTTCTTGACAAAGAAGTGTGTTATGATCCCAGTGGTAAAAAGTTCTTTTATTAGATCTGGTTTTCTTTTTAAGGCGTCTACTAATACTTATTGATCCACCATCCATGGCTTTAAGTTGGGCCATTAAAAATATGTCTTGTTCTAATTTAGTGAGAGCTTGAAAGGATTCCCTTAATTCTGCAAATCCTTCTTTGGAAATTCTTGAAGAACAACCACAATTACATCCTTTTTCTAAAAAATCAATTGCTTTTTGATATTCATTAGAACCATTATATTTATTATTACTTTTCATATACACCTATCCCTATATATATAATTTTATAATTTCATGTTCACTTTGTAGGTTTTCATTTATTTTAAAATTGAAATCAGTCTTGTGGTGACAAGCAAAGCAGAAAGAATTAAATTTGAGTGGGTCTGCAAATAAATATCAGAAATATATATTCAATAATTGATATAAAAGAGAAAATAAAAATCCTCAATTGGTTCCATGAAAAATAATTACGTTAGATTTAAATTATTTATTATTACTAAAAATGGATAAGATAAACTATCTTGAGACCTGAGATTTATTGATCAACTAAAACAGATAAACAAATAAATAAAAGATAATTATTGTTATTTCTAAAAAAACAATTGAAGAAAATTGTTGATTATACTAAAACATTAAAACATATTTTTTTATTTTAGAATTAATGCACAATGTAGTCTTCTGAGATTTTTGCTGAATGTGATCTAATAAAATCTAATTGAAATGTGCTAAAAAAAAATAAACAAATGTTTGAATTTTTTTTTTTTTAATCAAAAAAGAAATTTTAATATATATAATAAATATGATAGATTTTGGACTGAGTTTGATGTATCAAAAAAAATAATTATTGTAAATAAAAAAAACATTTAATAATATTAATTCAACTGAATTAATGCCATTACAAAGGTGAAATAAAATAATAATTTTTTAAATATAATTAATTATATAGATAAAAAATAAACATGATTTGGCTTATTTAATCCTTTCCTTGTATGTGAATGCCTCCATCCATCAAATATTCGTGATTATTATTCAATATGTTTGAAGTTATAATTGACATAACAAACAATTGCATCACCCAGGTGATAAATAACATCAGGGCCATGCATAAATGAATTTTTTAAGGAACCCGATTTTTCAAAATAATAATGTGTGCATCTATCCCAAATCTCTAGGCTTTGCAAAAATAAATGAATAAGGAAGATCAGGAAGAAAAAATATTCTTTCTTGTATAGTTCCTTAAAATGAATAATAAATCTGATGCTTGATCACAGGTGTCAGATTTAATTAAAATTTTCCTATCACAAACATTATGGTTAGGTGCTCTTAACACGCCTCATAATTGTGGGCTTTTTTCCACAAGTGAGGGACCCCACATGCTGGATGGCTTTTATAATGTTGGCAAAAATTTCCCTATTATCCCCTCAGACCAGGCTTGGCTGTTACCATATGGGCATTGTTTGCTGATGAGAGTTAGCATTTATGATGATTGCTGTGTGTTATACCTCTCTAGAATAAAGCTGGCACCTGCAACTGGTTCGAAATTTTCCAACTTGGAAGGGTTGCTGTTTTGGATTCAGAGTTTTGAGTCCTGGGTTGCTGAAATTTTTATGAAAAGAAAAGTATTAATATTTAACAATTAATTATTTAATGTTTATTTTGTTGAAAAAAATATACATTGGTAGTGTACATTTTCTGTGCTTAACATCCATGTGTCCTTAAGTCTGGACAAAAGATCTCTTTTATGAGTTTGGCTGGTATATCCCAAAGGCGTCCCCTGTCTTGTCAGTGGCATGCCTACTCACCAACAACCCTACTCCATTCGAAAAACAAGTTCAGTTGGTCAAATAAAAATTAAAGAGAAGCAGAAAATTTATGAAAATGATTAACTTGTATAAAACATACCAAAATCTGAACCATTTTATAACTTTTTTCTTGTTGGCCATATTGCTGACAAAGATGTATATAATTATGTGATAATTTTAATCTATAGGACAGAGGACTGATTGGGCAAAAACCCAATCCAGTCCCCTACCCAAAATCATAAATTGGTTAGCATCAGAGAAATAGAGCATTTATGAAAATGATTATGCAAAACAAACACTATTTACAACTTTCCTCTTAACATCAGAGCCAAATGCAATTTCAGGGCCACCAACCCTACTCTGAATTGTAACCTCCTGTGCTTGGAACAAGTTGCAGATTTTCGTTGCTTTGATGGAGGATATTTACATGGCACTACAATTCATCAGCAGAATTGTAACATCTTGGTCACAGAGCCATCCTTGCCCTAGAAGTAGGATTGTTGTGGGCAATTTTTCGGCCAGCATGGCAGCAGCTTTCTCTGGTCTGGGAAGATTAGTGAAAAGTGTCATTGCAATTGATGCAGTCTCGGTAAATTCCAGGGCCTTTCCCCCCCCCTGGAATTCTGTAGCATCATTGTATCATCGGGAGCACCGTAGTCAGATTAGCCTTATGTACACGAGGAATACGTGAGAATGACTGTAATGTGCTCAAGGCAGCGTGCGTGCTTCAACGCCTGCCAATTTCCTGTAATCAAACGTTGCATACTCAATGACTCTTTTTCAACGGTGTGCTGCCTTGACATCTTCTTGTAATTATATAGTAATATTAATATTATTAATATTATTTATTACGAAAAGCAAAATATTATCAATGAAAATCTTGTAATTACCCAACAATGATCTGCTCCACGTTTTGATTCCAATTAAAATGTTTATATAAAATAAAAAATATCAATACAAGTAAAAAATAGTACTCTGGTTAGTTATTAACACGTTTTCTTTAGGAGATTCAAACCAAACCAAACAACAACACTCACGTTTTGTCATCTTTGACTCTGTCAAAAAATATATTGTTTTTCCAAAAAAGAAAAAAAAAAAATCAATTCGCGTCTGTCCTACCAAAAAAAAACCAATAGGGATAAATAATTGTGCTACGCGTCGATTTAAATCTGAAACTTCTTTCAAAAAAAAAAATAAAAAATAAAAAATGTCTTCAGAAGCAAGACAAAAAAGAAGAAAATCGAACATAGATCCTCATGAAAGAGAAAGGTAAGTGTTTTAAGGATGGGTGGTGGTGGTTATCGCCCGCCACTCGTTGTCACTCTAGTTTATCATAAGAATGGTTGCATGGAATTCTAATTTTAAAAAAAAAACAATTAGAATCAAGAATCCGATAAAAAGACAAAAAGGAAGTAATAAAGAACAAAAAGAGTAAGTATT